AAAAAGAAAAGGAAATAATAAGCATTTTAAAGGCTAATACTCATTTTCTAACTCATGGATTTCTGCCCATTAAGTTGAGTTCCACTGGCAGGTCTCCAGCACTTAGCTGGGTATCTATCCCACAGCGAGCGGTTGCTGTTACATTTCCTTCTCAGCAATTTATTGGGCTTCCCAGAAGTGAAGGAGAACAAAACAAATATAAGAAGTTTGGGGACCTGTTAGCTCAGGGTTTGTTTGTTTTTTTCCCCTTCCTTTTGATGTAATTCTAAGGCTGTGGCATGTACGTTTTGGCCAGAAGAGGGTGGACGGGAGCCAGAGGTGGAGCTGCTGTGCACCGTATTCAGACTGCACTGAAACCCACCTTCCTGTCTGTTCATTGGTGAGCCTGGAAGCAAGTGCTTTGTCCAGTCATTTCCTCTGCCCTTAGAGAAATATGTAAGAAACTACTTGATGTTAAGCCCATAACTTGGGTTTTAGAATCCATTGTTATTGTGTGGAATGCTGTTAGTTACCAAATTATTATTTATTTATTTATTTATTTATTTTTAGACGGAGTCTTGCTCTGTCGCCTAGGCTGGAGTGCAGTGGTGCGATCTTGGCTCACTGCAACCTCCACCTCTTGGGTTCAAGTGGTTCTCCTGCCTCAGCCTCTTGAGGAGCTGGGATTACAAGTGTGCACCATCACACCCGGCCAATTTTTTGTTTTTTTCAGTAGAGATGGGGTTTTGCTATGTTGGCCAGGCTGATCTCGAACTCCTGACTTCAAGTGATCTGCCCACCTCAGCCTCCAAAAGTGCAGGGCTTACAGGCAGGAGCCACCACGACTGGTTCAAATTATTTACTTATTTCTCAAACCACCAGATATGTGAACATATAGGAGTTCAGTGTGTTTGTTTTTTTAAAGTTCTCATTTGGTATAATCGAAGTAGGAATTTTCAAAGACATAACTAACCTATGAATATTATGTTAAAATATGAATTCTGTAAGGAACAGAGGGGACTACCTTGCAGTGTCTGGTTTTCAAGTCCTGCTTATTTTTCAAATTTATGATTCCCATGCATGAGTTAATTCAATATCTAGTCAGGAACTTGTGAATACTAGCTTCCATGTATCCATGTTCATCCTGGTGACTTCTTTCTCATGTCTACACCAGAAAGGCTCGTAACAGTGTTTATGCATTCTATGTTCTTTAGATCAGTCCAAAGTGTTTGTGAAGGTGTTTACTGAAATTGACCGGATGCCCCAGCTCCTGGCCTACTACTACAAGTGTCACAAGGTAAGAAGCTGTGTGCGATGACAGTGTGGAATGTCTCCCGTCCACCCCCTTCTGGCCTCATAACTCTGGGTCATAGAATCTCCGGTTCATAATTCAGAAGGTAAGGCTATTGCCTCCTTGCCCTCTGGCCGTTTTTCTCTTAGCCAATAGGGGGTGCTCTTGGTCTAGCATATGGATTTATTTAATTGCCAGTTGGAGTTTTCATTTCTTTTCTGTTTACAGCTGGATTCATTATAGACTTGAAAGGTTGTTTTAATTTATTCTCATTTTTGTCTTTTAAGGGAGATTTATGTCTTAAGCTTTATTACACCCTCAGGAAGCTGTAAGAATTTCTCTCTCTCTTTTTTTTCCATTAGAGATAGGTTTTCACTATTTTGCCCAGCCAGGAGTGCAGTGGCTATTCACAGGTGCGATTATGGTGCGCCACAGCCTCAAACTCCTGGGCTCAAGAGATCCTCCCATCTCAGCCTTGTGAGGAGCTGGGACTACAGGCATGTGCCACTTTACCCAGCGTGGAATTTTATGTTTTCTAGGTTTGCTGAAGTTAGATCGCCAAAACACTGATAGATTCCGGAGCTGATCTTAATTCCTTCAAGTCCAGTGCTCTGTGTCTTTTAAGCAGTGATATTAGGACATGAAACTTTTTTTTTTTTTTTTTTGAGTTGGAGTCTTGCTCTGTTACCAGCCTGGAATGCAGTGGTGCAATCTTGGCTCACTGCAGCCTCCACCTTTCGGGTCCAAATGATTCTCCTGCCTCAGCCTCCTGAGTAGCTGGCATTGCAGGCATGAGCCAGCGCACCCGGTCAGGACTTGAAGCTTAAACGCACATGCCCGCCCACTCCCGCCTCAAGGTCTATTCAGAAGAGTGATCGTGTGCCAAGTGGATGCATGTTACATGCTTTCAGGGCAGGTTAAATGGAGAGGTGATCACATCTGCAGTATGACAGATTAAAGCTGTGAATCAGTGCAGGTAACTGCAAATGGTTTTCTTTTCTGCCTTTCTTTGAAGCGGATGGACCTCGCTGGGCCAGCCACTGAGCCCATTGAGCAATCCGTGATTGCGCTGGGTAGCAGGGCAGGGCAGTGTTAGTGGGCAGCCTATGTTGACGTACCCAGTAAGGTTCCCTTTGTTCTGTCTCTGCAGGTGCAGCTTTTAGCAGCCTGGCAAGAGCTGTGTCAAAGTGACTTACCCCTGGACCGGCAGCTCGCTGGACTCTACGACGCCTTGCTTGGTGCTTGGCACACACAAATCCAGTGGGCTACACAGGTAACAGCTCATTTTTGTTCTAGGGAGAACAGAGCCTGTGGTGACAAGGGAATGGGTGACTGCCTTGGGAGTGGTCACCTTCAACTGCAGAGCACAGCTCAAAGAACTTCCCCATTTGTTGCCATCATTCAAGGGATTAAAAAATAACTAGTTAGGCCAGGCATGGTGGCTCACACATGTAATCACCACACTTTGGAAGGTCAAAGCGGTCGGATCGTTTAGTCTGAGAGTTTGAGACCAGCCTGGCCAATGTGGCGAAACCCTAACTCTACAAAAAATGTAAAAGTTAGCCAGGTGTGGTGGCGCAATTACTCAGGAGGCTGAGGCAGTAAGATTGCTTACCTCCAGGAGATTGAGGCCACAGTGACCATGACTGCACCACTATACTCCAGCCGGGACAACAGAGCGAGACCCTGTCTCAAAAAAGACCCAAAAAAACACCTGATAACCAGTTAAATGGTTTAAGTTTAAAAATAAAAGATAGGCCAGGCATCATGGCTCATGCCTGTAATTCTGGCACTTTGGGAGGCCAAGGCAGGTGGATCATGAGGTCAGGAGTTCAAGACCAACTTGGCCAATATGGTGAAACCCTGTCTCTACTAAAAATACAAAAAGATTAGCTGGGCGTGGTGGCACCTGCCTGTAGTCCCAACTGCTCGGGAGGCTGAGGCGGGAGAATTGCTTGAACCCAGCAGGTGAAGGTTGCAGTGAGCCAAGATTGCCCCACCGCACTCCAGCCTAGGGGACAGAGCAAGACTCCATCTCAAAATAAATAAATAAATAAATAAAAGATAAGCTGAGAAACCCATGTCAGTGAAATCTTTAGGTCTCCACTAAAACTCTTCTTACTAATCTATAACTTAAATAGGATCTAATGTGACAGTGCCACCTGTTGTCCAGCAAGGGAGCCTGTGGAATTCCTGAAGGCCATTTTCTTCCCATCTAAAAGTGATGTTCGAGTGAACAGGAATGTTTTTATCTTAGCTACAGGTAAAATGTACCTACCTGAAGTAAGTTTCCCTTGTTCTCATGATACACCAAGAATAAGGGGAAGAGATAATTTTAAAGGTGCCACCTTGACTAGGAGTGAGGAGTGACAGAGGAACTTTGTTTCAAGTGGAAGCTTTCCATCGTTTACTTTCCCAAAGTCATTTCCAGCCATAAAGGGCTTAAACCACTGTTCTCTTGCCTGGAGACAGGAGGCACAGTAGATCTTCTAAGAAGGGGGAAAGCCTATCTTACTTTGCAGTAATGACTTACTGAGCCTGTTTCTGGTGTGGCTTATTTTATTTATTTATTTATTCTTATTTCTTTTTATTTATTTATTTTATTTTTCCAAACCCTTGTGTTGAGGGCCAATTTTTTTTTTTTTTTTTTTTTTGAGACAGAGTCTCGCTCTGTTGCCCTGGCACGATCTTGGCTAACTGCAATCTCCGTCTCTGGGTTCAAGCGATTCTCCTGCCTTAGCCTCCTGAGTAGCTGGAATTACAGGCATATGCTACCACATCCAGCTAATTTTTTTTTTTTTTTTTTTTTTTTTTTTTTTTTTTTTTTTTTTTTTTTTTTTGTATTTTTAGTAGAGATGGGGTTTCACCATGTTGGTCAGGCTTGTCTCGAACTCCTGACCTTGTGATCTGCCCACCCCAGCCTCCCAGAATACTGGGATTACAGATGTGAGCCACTGTGCCTGGTTGAGGGCCAGATAGAGGGCTATTGAAATAGATTGCAGTGAGGGCACGGCTCTGCTACATATGAAACCCCCACCTAGAAGCAAGTCATCTACGAATGGTCTAGTGCCAGGTTCCCCATATTTTAGTGTTTATAATAGTTGTGAATCACCGTTTAGATGTTCATCACTCATTTGCTGGAATGAACTTGACTATGGTTGGAGAGAATTCCTTATACAGGGTCATGTCATTCATGTTGCTGATTGAAGTGCTTTTCTCCATCCTTGTTCTTTCTCCTTGAACTAACCTAATTCATTCTTAGGATTTTGTTTTGTTTTGTTTGTGACAGGGTCTTGCTCTGTCAGGCAGGCTAGAGTGCAGTGGCATGATCATGGCTCACTGTAGCCTCGGCCTCCTGGGCTCAAGCCATCTTCCTGCCTTAGCCTTTCAAGTAGCTGGGAATACAGGTGTGGGCCACCATGCCTGGCTAATTAAAAAAAAAGTTTTTGTAGAGATAGGATCTCACTGTGTTGCCCAGGCTGGTCTCCAACTCCTGGCCTCAAGTGCTCCTCCACCTTGGCTACCCAAAGTGTTGGGATTACAGGCATGAGCCTCCATGTCCGACTTTATTTTTTTTTAAGAAAAAATCTTTTTTTTTTTTTTTTCCCAGACAGTCTTGCTCTATTGCCCAGGCTGGAGTGCAGGGGCACAATCTCGGCTCACTGCAACCTCCACTTCCCAGGTTCAAGCAATTCTCTCACCTCAGCCTCATGAGTAACTGGAATTACAGGTGCCTGTCATCACACCCCAGCTAATTTTTCTATTTTTAGTAGAGATGGGGTTTCACCATGTTGGCCAGGCTGATCTCGAACTCCTAACCTCAGGTGATCTGCCTGCCTCAGC